TAATAAAGTCCTTTTAAATAATTTAAGACCTAGGCAAGACTTCTGCTACACTTTTTGTCATACATCACTGTGTTTTTTGGAGCACTATGAAAAAGTAAGTATCCAGATTTACCAAAGTGGATCAGATACCTCCAAGGGACACAGTACAAACTTCAAGAGGAAAACTAGCTAACATGAGCCCAAGAGAATCATGCACAGAGCTAGCAGTTAATCTATTACAAAGAATGTGTTTCAAAAAGATTGGAAAATCAGTGAGACATAATATCAAGTCTGCCAAACCAAAGGCAAATATTGCTAGAGGGAGGATTTTCATTGCTGATTGAACCACACACAAACCTGTAGCTATAAGGATTCATGGAACTTAATTAACCTGCTTATCAAGAACACTGCCTACCAACAAAATTTAAGTACTTCACAGGGAGTTACTTTTCTTTTTTTTTTTTTTAATTAAGCAAAATGTGAGTTAGGTATATTCTTAAATTGCTGGCAGTTGCTGGGTAAAAGAGAAGTCAGAGGCACAGCTGGATTTTTAACTACTGAGCTGCATCAAAGTTCTGATTTCCATAATTAGAGTCAGCCCAATACCACGGGCAAGAGCTGCCTTTAGGAAGGAAATCTACATGGCCCAAGGCAGCCCTGCTTAACTTGTCCCCCAAAGTGCTCCCCACTGAGGACCGTGAACTAGCCCCAGAGGCTACAAACACCCTGGTGTCTCAAGGGTGACCTTACACATTCTCTAAAATTAATGTAACTCAATTGCAATGTGATGTTTTTCCAAGTTTGTTTGAATGTAACAACAACCAGGGCTTACTGAAGACTGTTCAGCAGGCACTGTGCTAAGAATTTCACATCAATTATCTTATTTACTTCACAAGCAAGAACTGGCATTAATTCTATCTCCATTTACAGTAGGGAAACCAGCTCAGACAGGTTGAGAAACTTCTCCAAGGTTATGAAATCCACAATCGGTGGAGATGGGATGCAAGCACACAGTTTCTAATTTGTCTTCTCAGATACATTACGCTGCAATGTTTTTTGTTTAAAGATTTTATTTGAGGGATCCCTGGGTGGCACAGCAGTTTGGCGCCTGCCTTTGGCCCAGGGCGCGATCCTGGAGACCCCGGATCGAATCCCACGTCGGGCTCCCGGTGCATGGAGCCTGCCTCTCCCTCTGCCTGTGTCTCTGCCTCTCTCTCTCTCTGTGTGACTATCATAAATAAATAAAAATTAAAAAAAAATACCTCTGCATTCTTTAAAAAAAAATAAATAAAGATTTTATTTGAGACAGAAAGAGAGCGCGTCATAGAGATGGCACAAGCAGGGTGGAGGGGCAGAGGGAGAGGGAGAAGCAGACTCCTCATTGAGCAGGGAGCCCGATGTGGGGCTCGATCCCAGAACCCTGAGATCATGACCTGAGCCGAAGGCAGATCAACTAACTCAGCCACTCAGGCACCCTCACTGCAGTGTTTTAAGGGACTTTGCAGTTAAATTTGCTGACTCTTCCTCCTCGGTGAGGTAAGGCATGGGTCAGCAAACTTTTTCTGTAAAGGGACATAGTAAATATTTTTGCCTTTGCAGACCATGTACTGTCTGTGATGGCTACAACGACTCAATCCTGCCTTATCAGTGTGACAGCACCACACGCAATCCCGCTATTGTAGTGTGACAATACCACGCACAGCCCTCAAAGCAATGAGTATGGTTGTGTTCCAGTAGAACTTCATTTGCTGAAACGGGCGGCAGGCAGACCTGGGTAAGAGTTTGCAAATGCTCAAGTAATATTCATGTTCTGGGCAGATATGCGTATTTATCCTGTGGCTTTGTATAATCCCCCACTATGATTGGGAATAACAAGTAGAAATAAAATGGATTTAAAAAAATTTTAAAAGCAGCAGCCAATGCCAAAAAGTAAGGGAAAGGGAATTAGTATTTATACTCTATCCTTTATCAACCAATCTGGTAACAACAGCAGGGAATCTACATGCCCTCCCTCTACTCCTTCAGTCAAGGGTTCTCTGCTTCCCCTGGGACCGTGGATATTCTCAGCCTCTGGCATCCTGGACAGGCCACAGCATATTTTCCCATCAGCTGTGGCTCTCTCTTATGGTGGTTGTCTTTCCACCTAATTCGAACTCTAGCCCCTAGAGTCCAGTGAATTTACTAATTATCCTCTCTACATGTTTTATGTCCTCTGTGTCTTTGCTCATGCTAGGAAAACACTCTGTTAACTGATTCCAATAGCTGATTCAGGAAATGTATGACTGCATTCCCAGTTCAAAATTCCTAGTCCTTGGATTCACCTGTAACACATCATTTCTGTGCTCACTTCGGCAGCACATATAATAAGACATTATTCCTGAACGCGCCAATTATACTATGTATTCTGTTTCAGCTGTTGACTTGCTTATTTCAAATACTACAACAGTGACCCTCCCCCCCAAAAAAAAAGAGTTAAGAGAATCCCCGGAGTGTCATTGTCACTAAATATAACTGGAAACTGGCAAAAGTAGTTAAGACTGAGTTTAGAGATTTAGCTTCATTTTCTTGTTCTGAATGATTAGAATAAAAGGTAACCTTTCATAAAGAGCTGGAAGGTCAAAGATATTTAATCACATAACGATAACGGTAATTTGGGATATCAAAATCAAGAAGCTGAAGTAGAAAAAAAACATGGGGCACTAAAATGTCTAAATGTACTAAAATGATGTACAGAAAGTAAAACGGAATATGAATGACATTACAAATTCCTGTTAAGAATGAATGCCTTTGATTAATAAGTGTCTCAATAATTTAATTAAAAAGAATAGAATATTCAAATTATTATGTTTCTTGCATGTTCCCAAGACCTTCATTGAGAACACTTAGGAGGAAGAAAACTGTCAAGAACATATAGTTCAGGACAGGTCCTTAATCCTTAACTGCTTTTCTTCCTTCACTCGGATTGCTTACTGTGTCTTGTCCAATAACAGAGTCTTCTGATTCCTGTATTTCAGTTTTAAAGAAGCTTGAAAAAGTCCCTGTGTTGTTTTTTTTAAATGTCTTTACCTTGTAGATGTTTGTGATTTATTTCTCTCAAGTCTGCTAGTAATAATATACTCCAATTTTTTTGTATATATTTTTATTGGAGTTTGATATGCCAACATATAGCATAACACCCAGTGCTCATCCCGTCAAGTGTCCCCCTCAGTGCCCATCACCTTTACTCCAATTTTTAAAAACAGTCTTACTAAAATAGATTCTGGAAATGCTATCTGAAGAATCTGTCTCTCTTGAGAGAGAATCTTATAAATAACATGGATCTTAGTTTTTAAACAAGTATGTAGAGTGATTTCACTGTTCCAAGTCAGAGTTCAGAGTAAAAAAAAAAAAAAAAAATACAGCCACTGAGGAGGAGTTACGTCTTAAAAAAATTCACAGAAACAAAATTCAACACTTACACAAGTAAGGCAAATGGTGATCCTCTACGCACTCACAAGAAATGTGCATTTACACATTAAAGACAGAGTAGGTCTGCGTAAAGAAACGTGTTTAATATTCCAACAGTACTGCCTAAGCTTGTCTGACCCCTGAGATTTTTACCCCCAACATCTGTTACTAGCTCTGAGAACTACTGTTTTCACAGAAAGCAGCCAGGGAAGCTTTTGGAGAATTAACAGCTTATTATACTTAAGGGGCTGTTTAAAATTTTAGCTATGTCCTTATGATTTCTTCATATTCTTTCTGATACAACTGAATATATACTTATCTAATACAGTCAAAACATAATTCCTAATGTGGTTGAATAGATCAGCATTAATAAATGCTGTAAGGAAACCTAAGAAGTTATGGCTTGGAACTATTTATCAATGGATACCATAAATTCACCATGATCACAGGGGAGCTTAGTCCTGGTTTTGCCATTTGTTTACAGTATGACCTCTGGGATAAAGAGATTTCATGTCTCGGAGTTTTGATTCACGTATATCTAAAGTGGGGCCAGACTTGCCCTGTCTAACCAACTGGTACATTCTGAGAATCAAGTGGTCAATCTGAAAATCAAAATCAAGAACAATTCTTCATAAATAATAAAGTGTTACAAAAACATAAAAAGAGTTATAACAGTAGGATGCCTAGGTGGCTCAGTGACTTGAGCAGCTGCCTTCAGCTCAGGTCATGAACCCAGGGTGCCCAGATCGAGCTCCATGTCGGGCTCCCTGCTCAGCAGAGAGCCTGCTTCTCCCTCTGCCTCTCACCCTGCTCGTGGCTTTCTCTCTCAAATAAATTTTAAAAGAATCTTAAAAAAAAAAAAAGTTATAAAAGTATAAAAATAATACATGATTTCATTAGTTTCTTTTTTATACAAGCATGCTAAATGCTGTTATTTTCTTCTCTTGAACTCTGGCTAGAATGCTTAGAATTGCCAAATCCCTCATTTTACTTAGAAAATTAATTTTTGATTAGTCATCAATCATAATAATGTTATCATCAAACTTTTTTTCAGAAAATGTATGGCAGGGGTGCCTGGGTGGCTCAGTCAGTTAAGCATCTGCCTTGGGCTCAAGGCATGATCCCAGGGTCATGGGATCGAGCCCCATGTCGGGCTCCCTGCTCAGTGAGGAGCCTGCTTCTCTCTCTCCCTCTGCCCCCCCCCCCCCGCTTGTGCGCTCTGTCTCAAATAAATAAATAAAATCTCAAAAAAAAAAAAAAAAAGAAAATACACAGCAAAAATAGGAGAATCAGAAAAAACTGTTTAAAAGAAGAGATTTATTGCAAAGTAGTTGGTGAGCAGAACCACCTTTCTCTGGGTTCTATTATGAACCCATCTGTGGCTGCCCTTCGATGCCAGTGAATAAAGACAGTAGGGCTCTATATTCTTTGAGTCCGTCATTAAACTATTGATCCCTTTAGCATTATCCATAATGTTCCAGCAGCTCAGCATGTCAACTGGTGAAGTGCTAGTCTCTCACTCCTTTCAATAACTTCCACACTTTATGGAGAGGAAGTCACAATGATTTATTTACCTGACATTTTCCAGTCCGGATGTCGTACAGGGCCACTGAACCATGGCGAGCTCCAACTGCTATTCTGTGATTCCGCTCATAATAGCTGACCATGTAGAACCTGAATTGAACATTTTAACAACAACAAAAACAAAACAAAACAAAAAACCCAGGTGAGATGACCTGCACATGGAAGTGGATACAATATATTTCAAAGATGGAAGTCAGCTCTATATTTTTAAATAAATATTTCTAGAATTAATACATTGAGATTTTTCAAAACTGTTTCATTTTAGTAACTCTTAAAATCAACTGAAAGAAAAATGATGCAGAATACCACTTTGGCCTGTTAATAATTATTTTCAGTAGAAAACAACTTCATCACTACAAACACTTTTGAATTTTCAAGCAAGAAATACAGTCAAATACAAAAAAGATTTAATATGAAAACTCAGTTTTACTTAGTATTATGCAAATGCTTCTATTTGAACAGAATGGAAAAGAAGAAAAGGCTTACGTATTTAACCTACTTATGTTCTCACATTATATTATAGTATTAAGGAGTGAAACATACTTTCTAGCAGAACAATCATAAAAAAGCTACATTAATGTTATGCTTAAGTTCATATCAATAATTTATCTAAAAGAAAAAAGTTATCTGGCAAATTCCATAGATTTTTCACATTCACCAGTTTAAACAATAGCTGTGACTATCAGTAGTATAAGTAAGGACATTTGGTTTTTATTTGGCAATACATGTAAAGAAAACTTAGGATGATTCGAAGGTTTTAAGAGGTTGATTTATTTTTATTTCTTTTTTTCCTAAGTTAATTTGCATGAATAGATTGGGTATCTGAATTCCTGATGTATATTTTGCCATAATGATTTCATGGTCACATGATTAAAGCCTGGGAAGATATGAATAAACATTATTAGAGGTGTAAATAAGGTATGATTTTATATCCCCAAAGAATTTTGAATATATCTTCCCATTATCTAGTGCTATTGTCTCTGTGTGAGTTGCCCAGATGCACAAGTGGCCTACCCTAAATATTTACAAGGATATTACATCAACTCTACCACATGTTCCTTGCTTTTTTCTTTGAGGTGTGCTGTACTACCAACCTAACTTTTCTGTTGTTATCTTTATTTTTTTATTTTATCTTTTTACAGATGGAAAGGGGAGATGACAGCAAGAAAATATTTCTCTAATGCCTTCTTGAGTTGGCGTAAAAAAAACTACTAGGTCATATGACAACATTTCTGAAATTCTGATAAGAGAGGCTGAGAGAGAGAGAGACAAGAGGTTTGAATGTGTGCAGTTGGAACCCAGAGACACTGTGATAAAGCCATCTGGGCATGAGATGACATTATGACATTCATACACATTTCATAAATCTGGAAAATGAAATAATTCAGTTTCAAAACTTTTTGTTACTTATTAGCAAGTGGTGGATTCAATAATACTTCTATCCTGTCCCTAAGCCTTACCCATCAGTGCAACGCCTTTCCCTTCAGTGAAAGATTAATGCTTGTTTAGTCACATGAGAGACACTAATGTAGGAATGTTCTGTTAGTTTTGCTGTGCTCAGGCATGGGATGTCTCTTTGTATGCTGGTTTGAGGGCAGGAAAAGTTACTAAAGGCTCCTGACACGTATGAAACTTCCCCACTATTAAGTGGTTAGTAAAAGTTTGATTTCTTTAAGCTTTTCCTGTCTGAATCATCATATTACTCTATCTCAATAGAGAAGGTAGGGATCAGCATTCAAAATCCAATGTTCCTATACTTGAAAATAAAAAATGATCTAGAAGAGTTGAAACTTTTACTATTTTGTTATTCAATAATTATAGTGGTTTAAGTATTGGGCATCACTATATATCTACACCTACATCTATACACACATATACACACGCAATTTATTCCTAATTGTAGTTGCATGGAACATAATACTGAACAAATGCTTTAATAAATATTCTGTTCATATTAATAGCCACAGGAAAATAAAACTTCCAGAAGTATGTATTTTTAAAATCTGTTATTGAACTTTGCACAGATGTAGCAGTGATGTTGCCTTAATCTTTCTGCAAAACCTATTATTACCTGTCAAAATAATCCTCTTCAAAACACATCTGTGGTAAAATATATTTAATGTGGACAAAATTTACTTAAACTAGAATCTTAAAACTTTTTGTAATACTGGCCATATTCTGTGCTCTGGATATCAACCTCATCCTTCTATATCATCTATAAACACTGTAATTTATGAAAGAAAAAAAGATCGAATCTATTCTTGGTATCAAATCTTTAGTTTTCCTGAAAGGACCATAGGCCTGCATTTATCATTCTTTGCAATTTACTGCTAGAGTAATACTTCTAAACAAGATCTTAAACAATTCTGGGCAGTGAAGGTCTTATGGTGTATTTTTATCTTTGGATTTCTTGTCAGACTTTTTATTCCTTTAGCAGTGTCTCTTTCAACAGAAGAAATCCGTGGTATGAAAAAAAAATTAAACAAAAAAAAAAAAAAAAAAGAAATCCGTGGTATGTATGCAGTCACAAGTATCCACTCTGGGGAGACTGGCTGCAGTGAGCCTACCTCTGCCAAGGGTTTCCAGAACTCACCGTACCCCTAAACTACTCCTAGAACTAGTTCTCCATTGAGGGATTGTCAAGACCAAAGATAGTGAGATATGCATTATTTGCCTCTACCCCCAAAGGTATCAATGGATCAAAGAGGAAGATTCACTACAGTTTTAAAGATTTTTTTTGGGGGGGGGGTGTTCTCAGAGTAAAGACTGATGTGCGCTGAGTCTTCTGAAATGGTATTTCAGTCCCCAGTTCACTATGTTGATAACATGTCACTTGGGCAGCTTTCTTGGGTAACAACCTGGCAAGAATCCTTTCATTATATTCAAATCAAAACAAGGATCTCCTCTACTTGGCATAACACAAGGAGACTGCTAAGTTAGAGAGAACACTACCACCAAAGTGTGTGGAAGAAGAATAAACTGGAACTGAGTCATGCTACAAAATAGATTTCTTACTGGGGTTGGGGTGGTCATCATCCAAGAAATTTAGTCAGATCCCACACTTTCATTACTACCCACAGGCAGCCAGGGTGATCCTCTTCAACCATAAATCAAATCACCTTTCTCTTAGGTTCACAGCCATCCTTCAAGACCCTACATATGATGATGTAGCCCCATTTCTCACACTTCATCTTCTCTCCTCCTGCTCACTCTGCTTTAGTCATATCGATCTCCTTGTACTTTCTCCAATATGCCAAGAATGTTTCTACTTTGGAGCGTCAACACTTGCTGTTTTCTCTGCCTAAAAACCTCATCTGCCGGCTATCTCCATGGCTCATACTCTCACTTCATTTAGGTCTCTGTTCCAAAGTGATTTTGACAAAGGAGATCTTCGTGGGCCATCTTATCCAATACAACAGTCCTTCCCCATTATTCTATAGCCTATTATCCTTTTTTCCTTATTGTACTCAATCATCTCTGATATTAAACAATATTTTGTTTATAGCATATTTCTCTCTACCAGAGACTATCTTTTGTTGAATGTATGAGAACATAAATGTGGTCCAAGTGAGCAGTAAAAAGTAATGCAGTAAGAAGTTCAAACACTATGCCTATCCTTCAGTGGCTAGTGTATAAACCATGCTAAACATATTGATTTTTAAGACCAATGAATATTTTATAGGATCTAAAATAATAATTGAGATGAGGAAAGGAAACAAAAACTGTCCAAAACAGGCAGAAGTCAAGAAACAAAGAACTGCTCATGATCTCTCTAAAAATTTATTTTTAATTGAGACAAACAACTGGAGATTTATATGAAATTATCTATAAAGGTCCTTGTGACCTGAGTATGTTAGTATGCGGGTGACAGTGGCATAATGAAAACTATTGAATTATTCCCAAGATTACTTGAGCTGAAATTAAAAAAGGCAAATATAGTCTAAATAATGAAGTATACAAGAAATTATGTATTTTTGATAGATATTGTTATGGAAATAAAAATGATGCTAAGAATTTGATAGATGTATCACCACACATAAACGTCCATGAATATAATACTATTACACAACACATAATTAAAAGAAATAACTATCAATCATCAGTAAACTGGAATAGGTTATTTCTCCAAAGCCCAATGTGTAACTTCATCTCTTTAGGACTAAGTCACAATGGGGTATCATCCACCCCACAATGGGTGTGAAACATGAAACGTAAATGTGAATTGAGTAGAGGATCCTGGAGCAAAACACTTTGCTTATGACTATGTCAAGCACCCAGTGCCCAAGTCTCTAAATAACTTTGGTACTCTCTATTTATAGTCTCCTTTGAATTGATGACCTTTTTATCTTAAAAAAACGGCCTTCAAAACAAAACAAAACAAAAAAAACGGCCTTCAAATAAGAAAAAACTGATGCGAAATTTAAAAGTCAATTTGGAAACACACAGGAAAAGGAAACATCCAACTCTAGGCAAAAATACGATTTGGGAGGAAAACAGAAACCTGCAAAATCACTTTCTTAACTATGACTTCAGTAATCTCCAGTGACCTCAGGATGTTAAGTTACTACTGTCTATCATATCGTTGAGCATTAAAAACAACAGGAAACATTCTTCAATAATCCAAAATTAATCTCCAGCTTAACGTGAAGCCCTCTAAAATCTAAGAATGTAAAACAGAATGTATGGAATAGAACCACTTACAATGTAGAACTATCTACAGTTCACTAACTACACGACCTCAGCTAACATTTACTGAGGACTGGCTGCGTATCAGGCATTGTCCCAAGTACTTGGCACATGTATTCTCACAAGCAGCTGAAGTATTAGGATTATTGAGTGGCTTTTAGACATTCTTGATATTGATTTATAATGGTTCACAAACTTTTGACTCTGTTTGTTAAAAAGGTATTAAGGCAATGTGTACTTGTAATAAAATCAAACACTGCCAATGTGTATATAGTAAAAAGTAAATCCTCCCCCTCACACCCTTCCCTCACCTCTCACCAAGGATTAACTACCGTTAACAACTTGGTGGACCTTCTGAGAGGTTTTTCAATTTTGATTACAAAAATGTTATCATATTATACGTG